TGTCGAGGGCAACAGAGGGCTGTCGAGAACAGAGGGCTGTCGAGGGCAACAGAGGGCTGTTAAAGGCAACAGAGGGCTGTCGAGGGCAACAGAGGGCTGTCGAGAACAGAGGGCTGTCGAGGGCAACAGAGGGCTGTCGAAGGCAACAGAGGGCTGTTAAGAACATTCGCGAAGGCACAGAGGGCTGTCGAGAACAGAGGGCTGTCGAGGGTATTCGCGAAGGTACAGAGGGCTGTCAAGAACAGAGGGCTGTCGAGGGCAACAGAGGGCTGTTAAGGGCAACAGAGGGCTGTCAAGAACAGAGGGCTGTCGAGGGCAACAGAGGGCTGTCGAGAGTATTCGTAAAGGCATAGAGGGCTGTCGAGAACTGTCGAGGGCTATAGAGGGCTAGCTATAAAAGGGATTCACAAAGGCAGAAGGCGTTTGTTTACATGTAAACAAAGCTAACTCTATTAGCTTAGTCACGTGATATAAAATCACGTGATTTTAGAATAATACTATATAGTAGTAGTAGTATAAGTTCTATATATAAACCTTAAACCTAAGCCTTAAACCTAAGCCTTAAACCTTAAACCTAAGCCTTAAGCCTTAAACCTAACCTTTAAGCCTTAAACTTAAGCCTTAAACCTTAAACTTAAAACCTAAAGCTAAGTTCTAAGTAGTTTTAAACTAGGCTTAAACTAGGCTTAACCTAGTTTTACTTACTTAAGATAATCTTAAGTTAAGTTTAAACCTTACTTAAGATACTATAGTAAGGCATGTAAGTATATACCTTTAGAACCGGCCTTACTCTTACTTCTTTAAGGTACTAATAAAGAGGTACTAGCTATAAGCTACTATAATAAAGTAGTAGTATTAGGTCGTTAGTTTTTTCTAGAATTAGTAGCTAATCTTAGTAACGTTGTCTTAGACCTTTAAGATAAGTAATACTAGTAGTTTACTATTAACGATACTATAATAAAGGTAAAGATTATATTATTATTATTATTATTATTATTATTAGTCTTACTATCTATACCTAATGTATATAGAACCTCTATACTATATAAATTACGTAGTAAAACTGTACTAGAGCTAGGTAAAAACCTACGTACTACTACTTATACTTATACTATTACAGTACTACTAAGGCGCTAGGTCTTCTTTACTACCTTACTAGAACTTAACCTTCTAGCCTAGTAATACTAAACATACTAACAAGACGCTAGTAAGGTACTAGTAGGACACTAGCTACTAGCTAGGGCTACTCCTTTCCTTATAACTCTTCTACTAGGTAGCGCTTAGCTAGACAGAACTATAAGAATCAGCTAGTAGACAGTAGCTAATAGATTAGTATATGTACGCTCTTGTCTCTCTTTATTACTACTATAAAGTTACAGAACGTCTATAGCGCCCTTAGGTAAAGTACTTACTATAAGGCCTGCTACTATTAATTAAGCTACTAGTAGTTAAGGACTAGGTAAGCTACTGTCCTTAAGGCCTTACTATAAGGGTACTAGAGGGTCGCTACCTCTAGTACTCTACGTTTAAAAAAGAAGGCCTAGAGTCTAACTTTACTAGTATAGATCTATGTTAAAAGAGAGCTCTTATACTTGTAGAGAAGTAAGTACTTCTTAAGGGTATCTACTAAGAAGGCAGGTAGCGTAGTAGGGACGGCGCCTTATTAGTGTACTAGTAAGCTGTCGTATTAAGACTATCGCGCCTTCTAGTTCTCTTATAAGGTCTCTTCTAGAAGAGAGTCCCTGTACTAGTCCTTTACCTACGCGGCTTAGCCCGCTCTATACTTAAGTAACGTACAGGGTAGCGCTATAGCAGCGTTACAACGGCGTCTCTAGCGTTATTAAGGTAAAGATTATAGACATTCTTTAGAAAACAAGTACTTAAAAAGTACTAAGGCTTAACCTACTACTTACTAGCTTCTTTAAGGCGTATAGACGCCTTTTAGCTAAGCTCTTTATAGTAATTATAATAGTAAGCCTCTAACTAAGGTACTTTTTTATAAAGTTTAAAGTAGTAAAGGTAGTAGTACTATATAAGCCTAGAAAGACCCTTAAATAGTAATAAATAGCTAGGGCCTATAGACTAATTTTACTCTTAAACATAATAAGTAAAGTAATTAAGTTAGTAGTTAGCTAGTACTTTACTAATACTATAAAATCGTAAGGGCTCTTTCTAAAGATACAAATAAGGAACTAGCCTTAGCGCTTAATAGACCTAGTAGTTAAGATAGTAGTTAATACTATATATATAGCGTAAAGCTATAAGGCTATTACGACCTTCTTTTAACTTAATATTAAAGGCGCCTTTAATATAGTAAACTATATATACCTTCTTTATACTCTCTAATACTAAGGGTTCTTTACGTAAGCCGTATAGTAAGTATATAGCTTTCTTACTAACTAGACAGCTAGTCTCTTTTTTAATAAAGAGGTAGTACTACCTTAAGATAATAATAATAATAATAATAATAATATTAATTTACGTCTAGAGGGCGCTAGCAAAGCTAGGCGCCTGTGACCTCCTAAAGGGTATAAGGACGTACTAAGCTATAGATATGTTTATATATAAAGTACAACCCTAGAAAGTATTTTAAGTAGTAATTTACGTATAGCCTCTTAGAAGCCAGGTAACTATAACCTTCCCTTATAAGTAGAATAGACTACTAGAGTAAGAGATAAGGATACCTTTTAAGTTACTGTACTAGCGTATTATTAAGATAGTTATAAGACTAGGTTACGTACTACTATCGTAAGTAATAGTTTTAAGGCTAAAGGCTAGTAAAGACAAAAGAAAAGAAGTGTATTATAAGAGAGAAGGAGAAGAAAGGAGTACTACTACTAGTACTACTACTAAAGAGATAATAAGAGCTAAAGCCTAAAGCTAAAGAAACCGTCCCTTAAGACTATACTACACTACCTAAGAGTTAGAGTAAGAGAACTAAAAGAAGGAGTAGGATAGCCTACTACCTTACGTACTACCTGTTTTACTAGAGGCAAATCCTAGAGTAGAACCCTATAACCTTAAGGTATCTTATAAAGTGTTTTAGTACGCGTATTAGGTACGTAAGGTAGTCTTTACTCTTAATTAAGCTTATAAGTAGTGTCTAAGGCTTCTTAGGCTAGTACTAGAAAGAGCGTCTTGCCTTTTAGTAGTATACTATATAGTCTAGCACCTTCTAGTTACTACAAGAGTAAAGTAGGTTAGCGTCTTTATAATTAAATTTAAGGTAATACTATAAGAAGTCCTTATAAAAGGACTAGATAGTAAAGAGTTGATATAGCGTAGCTTAAGGGAGCTCTAGCTCTAGTTAAGGTTTAACTTAATAGTTAAGGTCCTACTTCCTGTACTAGCTAGACAACTTAGAGCTATACTTTGTCTACTAAGACTCTTGTATAGTCTTCTTATATTACTAGTATATTGTATAGATGCCGCTTACTATAGGCTCTAATAGTAGTCTTATGTCCTAGTTAGGCGCGCGCGCCTTAATGTTAGCTAGCCTGTCTACTACCTTATTACCTTTAATGCCTGTATACTCTAGGGCCTAGTAGACTCTAACGTTATGTGTTTATATAACGTCCTAACAGTTATAGAATGCCTACTATAATAATAGTAATGTATTACTCTAGATATACTAGATAACTAAGGTACTGTTAATATATAGCTAGATCTAGCGTTAGCTAACGTTAGGTAGTATCCTAATAGCCTGTTATAGCCTCTTTTAGGCGCTAATAGCCTTAGCGTTAAAGACGTAAGATATAAGGTTAATTAACCTATAACCTATAGCTACCTGTTAGTAGTTCTAGTATATTAAGTACCTGTACCTAACATACCTTACAGCCTTATTTATATAATTTAACCTAGACTTAAGATAATGTTAAATATATCTTAAAACTATATTAAAACTAGGTTAAATCTAAGTTAAAATCTAAGTTAAAACTAGGTTAAGAAGTTTTAAGTAGTTTTAACCTAGTTTTAACTCTAGTTTTATTGTAATAACACACGATTATTATTAAATTAATTTAGAGATTTAACCTAGTTTTAGAGATTTAACCTAGCTTAAAACTAAGTTAATTCTAAGTTAAATCTAGGTTAAAAAAGGTTAAAAAACTTTAAGCTACCTTAAGCTAGATTTTAAGAGTTAAAACATACTTAAAGAGAATTAATTAATTAACTATCTATCTATCTATTTATTTATCTATCTATCTATCTATCTATATATCTATCTATCTATATATCTATCTATTTATAAAGACAATTATAAAGACAGTTATAAGAGTAGTTATAAAGGCAGTTATAAAGGTAGTTATAAGGATAGTTATAAGGGTAGTCGTAAGGGTAGTTATAAGGGCAGTTATAAGAGTAGTCGTAAGGGTAGTCGTAAAGGTAGTCGTAAGGGTAGTTATAAGGGTAGTTATAAGGGTAGTTATAAGGGTAGTTATAAGGGTAGTTATAAGGGTAGTTATAAAGAGACCTATAAAACAATATAATTAGTAAAGGTAAATAAGGTAAAAGGGATCTGTAAGGGTAATAAAGGGCTATAGAGGGCTGTCGAGATCTGTAAAGGTAATAGAGGGCTATTAAGGGTAATAAAGGGCTGTTAAGATCTGTAGAAGTAATAAAGGGCTATTAAGGGCAATAAAGGGCTGTTAAGATCTGTAGAGGTAATAGAGGGCTGTCGAGGGTAACAAAGGGCTGTCAAGATCTGTAGAGGTAATAGAGGGCTGTTAAGGGTAACAGAGGGCTGTTAAGATCTATAGAGGTAACAGAGGGCTGTCAAGAGTATTTACAAAGGCATAGAGGGCTGTCGAGATCTGTAAAAGTAACAAAAGGCTATTAAGGGTATTTATAAAGGTACAGAGGGCTGTCGAGATCTGTAGAGGTAACAGAAGGCTGTTAAGAGTATTCGTAAAGGTATAGAAGGCTGTTAAGGGTATTCGTAAAGGTATAAAGGGCTATTAAGAGTATTTGTAAAGGTATAGAGGGCTATTAAGATCTGTAGAGACAACAGAGGGCTATTAAGGGTATTTATAAAGGCATAAAGGGCTGTCGAGATCTGTAGAGGTAATAGAGGGCTGTTAAGAACAGAGGGCTGTTAAGGGTATTTATAAAGGTATAAAGGGCTGTCGAGATCTATAAAGGTAATAGAAGGCTGTTAAGGGCAATAGAGGGCTGTCGAGAGTATTTACAAAGGTATAGAGGGCTGTTAAGATCTATAAAGGTAACAGAGGGCTGTTAAGGGTATTTATAAAGGCATAGAGGGCTGTCGAGATCTATAGAGGTAATAGAGGGCTGTTAAGGGTA